AAATAATAAAAATATAAAATAAAATAAAAATAATAATAAAATTTAGAATATTAAAAATATGTATAACACTAAATATTTTTAGACTTCGTTTAATTTGTAAAATTATGATTATTATCAGTATTTGAAAGATCTTCAGAATTACGTAGATCTTCCGTATTTCCAGAATTCGCAGAATTCTCAGTATTTTCAGAATTCCAAATTAAGAGATCGTCATACTGCGTCATCTACGTGACTTCATTATGACTGGTTAATTGCTCTGTTGACACCATTATTCAAGAATAATAAGTCATCATTATTAAATAATAAAACATCATTCAAGAATGAAAAAATCATTGTTTAAGAATGAAAAAATGATAAAATCATCATTTAAGAATGAAACTATCATTAAGAATGATAATTGGTTGACCTGAATTTTATTAGGTTAGGTTAGATTAGATCAACCTGTTGACCTGATCTAACATTAACCTGAAATCTACTAACCTGACTTGAATTTTCAGGTCAGATCAAGTCAGGTAAACAAGTCGATCTGATCTGATTTAGAACTTTATTTAAAACTTTTTATTTATTTGATTGATCATAGTATTTTATAAATATATAAATAAAGAAACATAAAATTAAATTATTTTTCAAAAAAAACAAGATAAAATGAAATAAAATTTAATTTAATTGTAAAATATAATATTATAATGTAATGATAAAAGTGAGACACAAATTAAAGTAAAAGAATAATCAAAAATAAATTAATAAAAATAAAAGATTTTTAAGAAAAAATATAGAATAAAATAATTTAAGCAAATAATACTTCATTAAATAATAAATAAAAATATAATTAATTAAATTTCTATTTAACAAAAACCAAAAAAATCAGAAATAAATTTGCAAAAATTTTGTAACACAAGGACAAAATAAAAAAAATCGGTCAGTAAATAGAATATCTGCAAAGATGTGATACAAAAAATTGGGACTAAATAATAATTTTCATGCTAAAGATATTTTTTATATTATATCTAATAAAATACAAATAAAAAGATATTTTCAAAATAAAATTGATTGACAAAGATTAACAAAATCAATAAAAATAAATTTTATTTAAAATATGATGATTGAATTTAACATAACACAGGAAAGCTTAAATCACGAATTATTTTAATGATAATATAGCATAGCATATAGCTATTGCAGCAATTGTAGCTGTAGCTGTAACTTATATAACTGCTATATAAACTTCAAATTCGATGTTCACGAGATATAGAGATTGCTAAAGATTAGAAATAATAATCAAAATTCACATCATCAGAAGTATACCTTCAGTCGAATATTCAATGGCATTATTTTAAAATTTTATAAAGGAATAAGAAATTCAATATATTGAATACCTTTAAAATAACTTTTTCAGGAATAGCGCACCTTTTGTCGGAATTAGGGATGGTAACGGTCGGTCGTGGTCGGTCAAAGGCCTTTGACCGACCGACCGGTTAACTGACCGATTTTAACTGACCGGTTGACCGACCGGTTAATAGTAAAATAATTGAGCAGTTTTGGCTTAATAGAAAGTTTTAATTTAGCCAAATATTATAATTTTGATTCTTGCTTTAACAATACTAGCATGGCATTTTTTTAAACTACTTTGTCATTTTTATATCGTGGCGCAGCATTATCGCGGACTTAAATTTTTTTTTCAAAATTTCAAAATTTTAATTTATAGATAATTAAAACAAAATGTTGATTTATGTTAATTTTAATACAAAATGTTTTTACTATTAAAACATGGTTGTTCAGTCTCAAGGCAGTCGGTCAGTCAAAATCGGTCAGAATCGGTCGGTCAACCGGTCGGTCAGAAGCCTTTGACCGACCGATATCGGTCATGGTTATGACCGATTATGACCGGTCATGACCGTGACCATTAGCGATTTCGATCTAACATAAATTCGAAATGAATATTTTCAGGGTTCAATTTGATAAAACGAATGCCGAATGTGTGTGCAATTTTTAGCGAGACGAGTTTTTATCTCGAAAAAAAACTTGTTTTGTGATTTTTATATCTGTTAAAGGAAATGAATGAACTCAATTGATTTTTTTTAAAAAATAGGCGTTCGCGCCTTATCAAAGAAATTCAACATTACCTTCAAACTAACAAAAAGAAAGGCGTTGTTGACCTTTCGAAGACGTATGAGATTACATCAAATATTTGAAGATTTGGACGAAGGGGGTTTTGTATTAGAATTTAGGAACATTTTAATGGGAATAAAATACAAATCAATTTTTTGATTAGATTAGTTTCTATATTAGATTTTTGCGTTATTTATGTATTTAAAAAAATGATAAATTTAAATTATTAACTTAACATTCAATCGCGGACCTTACAAGCTTATACGTTGCATCAAGTGTCGTACTAAATAAAAAATCCTGTTTATTTGAAATTAAATAATAAAAAAAACTTTTTTTTTTCCGGCAACATATATCTGTAATTGATTTTATAAAGAGTCGATCAGGTGCGTCTCCGTTTTTTGGGGGATCGTATTGAACCATATCGATCGAATGAATTTAATAACTGCTTAAGGTCATAATTAGAGACCCCCTTTACCAACTTTAAATTTTTTTTATTTAAAATTCGATAAATTGATTTTCTTTTTTTATATAACCAATCTAGCCTAACGTACAATGCAATAAAACATATTTAACAAACCTCTTCCGCTTTTTGTGGTTAATAAATTCGTTCTTCGGATCATTTACTCTGTAATCAAGAATTTCTTCTCACTTACAATATGCTCCGAGCAAAATTTAATTCACTATAGGTTTTCATAAGATTCGGCCGAGATGAATTTAAATTTATTTTTAGAATTGAATACCATGCCACAAAACAAATTTAAAAAATAGCCATTGACAAATGAAAAATTTTATATATAGTATTCCCTCATCTTTTTTTTACAAGCGAACTTAAAAAAGTAAAGCACTAATAATAATCATAATAATAAAAAATAAATATGTTATTCAATAATTGTCAAGAATGTCATCAATCCAGATCCACCTATGTCGTATAATTCTGGACAAGCGGAATTAAGAATGTTAACCAATTAATTAAAAGAATACAATTAATTCTTCATCAAGTCAGGAGATAATTGAGTGGATCCCAGAAATCGATTGAAATTCAAGATTTGGTACGGTTTAAAAGACGATTTGGAAAGATGTGTTGGGAAAGATGCGAAGAAAATTGATCGTTGCAGTTAATGTTAAATACATCTAAAAGGATTTAATTGGATTTGTTGAACCAGGTAGGGTGCCGTCCAAAATCTCGAAATCCAAAATCCCGAATTGTACAAAATCTCGAAATCCAAAATCTCGAATGGTAAAAAAATCCCCAATTTTCCTTAAAAAAATTTTCCATGTATAACTAAGCTTGCTTTCTGATTAAGGCATATACTACGGCATGACATTACCAAAATTATTAATGTGCATATCACATAAAAATTTTTTCGTTAAAATCGCAATTCATCTTATCAATGGTTTAATATTTACTTATAAAATAAATGAAAAAAATTTTACAATCGGAGGGAGTTTTGCTTATACAAAAATTTTCAGCAGAATTATTTTCAGATAACTTGAGTCTCGCCCGCGACATATATTGCTAATTCAAAGTAATTTCCCGCGACTCACTAATTCAAAAGTACTTCTCATGATCATTCGGGATTTTGAATTTCGAGATTTTGGAATTCGAGATTTTGGACCTTTCAGGATTTAGAGTTTCGAGATTTTGGCTTTTCGAGATTTTGGATTTCGAGATTTCGTAGCATACCCACCAGGTATATGACGAAACCTTTTCTTATTCTTTTTTTTTTTAAAACAAAAAAAAAAATATTATAATGCCATGCAAATCGTAACGATGTGATTGGTTGGCTTTAAATTATAATCGGATGGAGAGCATTTTCCGTATTGTGGATACTGTAGTGTATCCGTTGTTAGTATGAAGAGAAGAAACAAAGAAAAAAGTATCCCGCACTAATGTAATTTGCCTTTTTTTGATTTCACTAATATTTACAAAATGCAAGTTTTTGATAAAAATGAACTAAGTTAGGTATACGTATATTACAAAATCATCCAACGATATGCATTTCATGAATAGATTAATTACATGTATTGCTTTAGAGTTTCAACAAAACAATAAAAATAAAAATAGATATAATTACTAAAATATTTATTTAAAAATTGTTATTTAATGAAAATTTTCTACATATGTAAAATATGAAGAAATACAAATAAAGAATATAAAAAATCTATAACCTTTAATTTATCAAACGTTTAAATGAACAAAACATTTCGTTAATAAATTTGAAGATTAATGAATAATTTTCTGCTTAAGTAAATATATGAAGAAATACAAAAAAAGAATAAAAAAAAATCTATAACGACACTTGATGGAGTGTCAAGTCTTTAATTTATCAAACGTCAAAATGAAGGAAACAAATTTCGTTAATAAATTTAAAGCATTTTATAACATATTCAATTTAGATAATTTCTTATGAAATTTCCTAAATTTCCGAGATTTTACTTAAAGTTAAGTAATTTATCGATCTTATTATTAACCTCTTCTATCTTACTACAAACCTTATCAACTTTGCTGTTCAATTCAACAATCTTATTATTAAGCTCAACACTAGTATCTTCTATCTTACTACAAGCTTGATCAACTTTGCTGTTCAATTCAATAACCTTATTATTAAGTTCGACACTAGTATCTTCTTCATTCTTCTGTTCGCTTTCATAATCATCATATAAGTTTTTATTCTCACGTTTATTGACATTCTCATCCCAGTTTTCATGACTTTTTGATTTACCAATATAATAAATATATTTTGGTTCTGGTGGTGGAGGATAGAAATATATCTCATCTAATGCCTCATAATCCGAAATTGAATCTGCACGAAATCGTAATAAAGCAACACGACCTTTCTCAAATGCATTAGAATACACACCCCTAATGAAAATTTAATCAATTTACTAATTTTATTCTAAAATAAAACTTGAAGAAAATAAAAATTAAACCTACCCCATAAAAGCAATAAACATATTTTGTAAAATGGTTACTAAAAGAAAACTACCAAAGAAGGTAATAAACTTTACCGCCCAAAAATTCCATGAATCTTGTTGTGAAAATCCACCACTTAACCAACTATATGTTGAAAGGAATGAGGTAACGAAAGATTTAGCAGGGTTATCTTCGGTTCGATCAAAATCTTTTTGAATTTTGAAGTTAGAATCACCCGTAAATAATGTGGATGATGATGAGTTTTCTTGAATATTTGTAAAGTCAGGATATTGTAACAATAATAAAAAACTATGTGCCAATCCTGCCATCACAAGAATCATAAAAGCGAGAAATATCCATATCTCTTTAATAATATTTAGCATAATATAGATATATTTCGCTGGTTCTAAAAGAAATGAAATTTGTAAAAGTTAAACAATTATAAATTTTAAAGATAAATACATAAATCAATTTCCAATATTACCTGAAATTAACCGAAGATATAAAATCTATTTGATAAAAAATGTAATAATTTTAATTTTTAATTTAAACATTTTTTTTTTTTCATAAAAAATTACGAGATACATACAAATTCAAACCACAGTAATAACATCGTAAAAGAAATCGCGATGGTTGTTCCTTGAGTTGTCACAACATTAGCAAATGCGTTTTTAGTATCAAATGAAGGAGTGACATAAACTGACATTATAACCACTGCTACGACAATTGATGCTAAATCAATACAATTAAAAAGTTTGAAGTAATATCTCCAATCATGATGTTGAAACTGTCTGTACTCTACAATTAATAAATAACATCCTAAATAATAGAAAAGGATAATAAGGAATAATAAAAAATTATGATATCCTTTTGCTTCAGAATGTGCCACATAAGCCCCACAAATTGCTGCAAAACAAGCTGCGAATAAAATATAAAGAAAAAAAAGTCGAAGAAAATAATTTCTTGCTGGTTTCCATTTGTAATCAATTACAGCTTCCATTACAGGGTTATTAAAGATATCATCATTATTTTCTTTTCTAATTAGTTGTACAAATGGACTAAGTTGTGAAGATCTCTCTGCATCAGCTGAATGGTTAACAAGATAACCTCGAGGGATGAACAATAATTTCAAAAGTTTGATAATATGTTGGAGATAAGGGTGTAATTGAGAGGGTTTGTCGTTATTATTTCCATGTATACTATTAACAGTAAAATTATGTAAGGGAACTGTTTTTACAGTTGGAGAATAATTTTCATATTTCTTTGGAAGAAATTTTACGTAAAGTTTTGTTAATTCTAACTTCAAACCATCTTTAAAATCAAATTTCTGCTCACTTGCTGAAATAAGTTTTGAGATTGGATTAAATGCTGTGAACTTTTGTTTTACTTTTAAAATGATTTGAATATATTTAGGTATAATATCTGTGTGTTCAATAATATTTGATATTTCTATACCTTCCATGCATTTTTTATAAAATAATTCGCTAACACAAGATTCTATATAAAAAGATTTATTTATTAAAAATATAATAACAACTAGTTCAAAAATGATTTTAAAAAAATTAATGGTACATACCTAAATTATATGTGTATAAGTCTGGTAATGCTTTTGAAATATTAATTAACCATCCGTGATGTTCAGTTGCATTTTTCGAATAATATTCAAGTAAATAAGTTACAACCAAAATTCTACGGTTACGTTCAAGACCTATATAGAAATATTTATTAATTAAAATTATAAAATTATTTTAAATTTTATAAATACTCAAATAATGAATAACATTACCAGGTTCACACAATCCAATAGCTATTTGCAAATCACTTTTATTTGAATTATTTTTAGATTCAGTCCATCGAGTTATTCTTGGTATATGTAAATTTGTATGTTTTACTACATCATCACCAAATAAAATATATTTAATAAGAGTATCTGAGCCACCAATTATAATGCTTGCCATAAGATTATAGTGAATATCTAGCATTTTCCAAATGTCAGGATAATTTCTAATAAATCTCAAAATCATAAGAGAAACATTATTCTTAATTTCTTCAAATACTATTATTATTAGAAAAAGTTAGAAATTATTTATTATTATTTTTTGCTTTAAAACAGACGTATTAATATTAAAAATTGATAATTACCATGCTGGTTCTCATATCCTGCTAATTTATTTCTTTGATCATTTAAATATTCAAGGCCAATACAAGCATGCCTCATTAAATCCTTATGACCAACAATATCTTTATCTGTCCATTTGAGGTCAATATAGTTATTATTTTTTTTTAATTTAAGAACAAATCCACTTTTATAAACAAATAAATCTACTATTTGTAATATTCCATTATCATTAATTTCATCATCATATTCGTTCGTCCAAAAATATTCAAGAATAAAATTTTCTTCTTGCTTAATCTTACGCCATACTTGAACTGTGCATTTTCCAATATATAAATGTATCAATTTTTCTTGATCAAGATATATCCATTCCTTTTTATAATCATCAGTTATCCATGGTTCTCTATTAAGTATAATAGGTAACGCTGCTTTATTTGAATGATCTTCATCCTTTGTTTCTTTTTTATGACCACCTTTGTATAATTCTAATTCTGGTAAAGAACTTTGATTTTCTTTTGTCTTATTATCTATTTTAAATATATTATCATATATAGATAATATTCCACCAAGATTATCAATAAATACATATTTACCAGGAATCATTGCGCTATATAAAAAACTTTCTTTATCTTCTTCAACTTTGATATTTTTATCATAATCTTGAACTTCATTTGTACATAAATGCCAAATTGACAACACTGTCTTGTCCTTAGTTTGTTTAATTATCATTAATGTGTTATCATCCTTAAATTCGCAACCAACTATTTTGGTATCTTTTCCTAAATCTTTACGAATAATCTCCAGACCATTTTCTATTAAATAAAGAGCTATATTTCCATATCCAGAAGAAAAAGCAATCATTTGCTTATTTTTTGAAATAGCTAATACGGAATTGCTATATTTATTCGGATGATTTTTTTCTACATATATGTTAAATATTTGTTGTATTTGCATGGTTTTTAGATCATACAATTGCATAACTTGAATACCTTCAGTGTATTGCTCAATATGGAAATAATGATTAAAAATACAGTCATTAATTCGTAATAAACAAGATTTGGATTTGTATAAAGTTTCTAATTCGTTCATAAGTTTTTTTGGATAATTAAATTGCTCAAAATTCTTTAATCCCTTATTATTGAGCGTACATTCAAGTCTATAGATTCCGCTTGCATTAAAGATAAAGCATACAGGTCCATGTTTATTAAAACCATTTTTACCAGAATCGATTTTATTGGAATCTTTCTCATCAGAATCGTTTTCATCATCCAGAAACGAAACAATTCCACCGATATTTTCCTGTTGTTTATAATCTTTAATTTCTTTAATTCCCTCAGATTCTAACTTTTCTGACTTTTCAATTTTTAAAATGACTGTTTTTCCACGATTTTCAACTCTAATGTTGGTTTCAAATTTTGAACTTATATTTTGTACATCCTTGTTAACTGTCATATCAGATTCAGTTACACATGATATTGCAACAAAGATAGTTTTTTGATTTTGATCCATATTCGATGTTGCTAACATCCATTTTACATTATGAGAAGATTTATAATTTTCAAAGAAACTTTCGTTAATTTTGCATCCCTCAACGTTTTTAATTTCATTATATTGAGTATATTTAATAATTTTAAGCTCCATTTTAGCTGCATGCAAAATACGTTAAAATAAATTAACAGAAAGAAATGTAAAAATAATAATAATCATAAATTACCATGATTAAATGTAACGAGATAATTTCCATCTGGACTAATAGAAATGTGCCAATTCGATTCTTTTATAAGTTTTGCTGGGTTATGATAAAAAATATTTATTTATAATACTTCTTATTTAATGAATTACTTATAAATGATAGAATAGAAATCAACTTACAAGCTATATCATTTCGAATATTTTAAAATTTAAATTTAGACGAGTTTTTTTAAATTTATTCACAAATGAAATTAAATATTCAATAGAAATAACTTACGCGCTGTAATTTGTTCTAATGTTCAATAATTTTAAACTTAAATTAGTCGAAATTTAACAATCACACACATTAATGGATGTTACAGTAGAATGAATAACTTACGCTTTATAACCGGATCGTCTTTGATTACAGTGAAAGATGCTGAAACTTTATGATTATACATTAATTGATGATACATAATTTTAATTTCAATTTAGTTTTCATAAATAAATCATGCAACAGAAAAAATTAACTATACCTTCTACATTTTTAATTGAAAATTTGTAACGTAAATTAGTCAAGTTTCATAAACAATAATTACAATAGAAATAACTTACTCTCCACAGCTATAGATATATGATTATTAAATAATTTAAAATTTAAATTAGTCGAGATTTATAATCACACATTAATACTGTTAATACTGTAGATGTAACAGTAGAATAACTTACTTTTTGTAACCATATCGAAAACTTTACGATTATACATTAATCGATGATACATAATTTTAAATTTCAATTAAGTTTTTATAAATAAATCATGCAACGGTAAATAAATTAATTTTACCTTCTATATATTTAATTGAAAATTTGTAACGTAAATTAGACAAGTTTCATAAACAATATTTACAATAGAAATAACTTACCCTCCGTGGCTATAGATATATCATTATTAATAATTTTAAATTTAAATTAGTCGAGGCTTATAAATCACACATAAATAGAAATTACAGTAGAATAACTTACGCTCTTGGAGAACAGTAAATTTATATTGAACTTTACAATTTCGAATGATATATAATTTTAAATTTCATTTTAGTTTTCATAAATAAATCATGCAACAGAAATAAATAACTTTACCTGCTATATTTTTTATTGAAATTTGTAATGTAAATTAGTCAAGTTTCATAAACAATAATATAATAAAAATAACTTACCCTCCGTGGCTGTGGCTATATGATTATTAAATAATTTTAAACTTAAATTAGTCGAGATTTATAAATCACACATTGATAGATGTTAAAGTAGAATAACTTACGCGCTATATTATGTTGAATAATTTTAAGCTTAAATTTAGTCGAGTTTTATAAACTATACAGAATGATGCAATAAAAATCAAAAAACTCACGCGCTATATAATCAATATTGAATAATTTTAAATTAAATTTAGATGTGTTTTTTAATATAAAATAATAAATGATTATACAATAAAATACTTACAATCTGTACAATAATTGGATTATTGGATAATTTTATACGTAAATTAGTTGAGATTTATAAGTGACACGTTAATAAATGACACAATAGAATAACTTACAAATTGTAGCTATATGATTATAAATAATTTTAAATTTAAATTAGTCGAGAATTATAAATCACACATTAATACTGTAGAATGTTACAGCATAATAACTTACGTGCTATATTATGTTGAGTAATTTTTAACTTAAATTTAGTCGTGTTTTATAAATTATACAGAATGATGCAATAAAAATCAAATAACTCACGCGCTATATAATCAATATTGAATAATTTTAAATTAAATTTAGTTGTGATTTTAAATATAAAATATTTTTAAATTTAAATTAGTCGAGATTTATAAATCACACATTAATACTGTAGATGTTACAGTAGAATAACTTACGTGCTGTATTATGTTGAGTAATTTTAAACTTAAATTTAGTCGTGTTTTATAAACTATACAGAATGATGCAATAATAATCAAAAACTCACGCGCTATATAATCAATAATGAATAATTTTAAATTTAATTTAGATGTGATTTAAATATAAAATAATAAATGATGATACAATAAATACTTACAATCTGTACAATTATTGGATTATTGGATAATTTTATACGTAAATTAGTTGAGATTTATAAGTGACACGTTAATATATGACACCAGTAGAATAACTTACAAATTTTAGCTATATGATTATTAAGTAATTTTAAATTTAAATTAGTCGAGATTTATAAAACACACATTAATACTGTAGATGTTATAGTAGAATAACTTACACGCTGTAACCGTATCGTTGACTTTACGATTATATATTAATCGATGATACATAATTTTAAATTTCAATTAAGTTTTTATAAATAAATCATGCAACAGTAATAAATTAATTTTACCTTCTATATTTTTAATTGAAAATTTGTAATGTAAATTAGACAAATTTCATAAACAATAATTACGATAGAAATAACTTACCCTCCGTGGCTATAGTTATATAATTATTAATAATTTTAAATTTAAATTAGTCGAGGCTTATAAATCACACATAAATAGAAATTACAGTAGAATAACTTACGCTCTTGGATATCTGTTACAGTAAAATTCTTATGAACTTTACAATTTCGAATGATATTTAATTTTAAATTTCAATTTAGTTTTCATAAATAAATCATGCAACAGAAAAAATTAACTATACCTTCTACATTTTTAATTGAAAATTTGTAATGTAAATTAGTCAAGTTTCATAAACAATAATTACAATAGAAATAACTTACTCTCCATAGCTATAGCTATATGATTATTAAATAATTTAAAATTTAAATCAGTCGAGATTTATAAATAACACGTTAATAAATGACACAGTAGAATAACTTACAATTTGTAGCTATATGATTATTAAATAATTTTAAATTTCAATTAAGTTTTTATAAATAAATCATGCAACAGTAATAAATTAATTTTACCTTCTACATCTTTAATTGAAAATTTGTAATGTAAATTAGACAAATTTCATAAACAATAATTACGATAGAAATAACTTACCCTCCGTGGCTATAGTTATATAATTATTAATAATTTTAAATTTAAATTAGTCGAGGCTTATAAATCACACATAAATAGAAATTACAGTAGAATAACTTACGCTCTTGGAGAACAGTAAAACTATGTTGAACTTTACAATTTCGAATGATATTTAATTTTAAATTTCATTTTAGTTTTCATAAATAAATCATGCAACAGAAATAAATAACTTTACCTGCTATATTTTTAATTGAAATTTGTAAAGTAAATTAGTCAAGTTTCATAAACAATAATACAATACTTAAATTAGTCGAGATTTATAAATCACACAATGATAGATGTTAAAGTAGAATAACTTACGTGCTGTATTATGTTGAATAATATTAAGATTAAATTTAGTCGAGTTTTATAAACTATACAGAATGATGCAATAAAAATCAAAAAACTCACGCGCTATATAATCAATATTGAATAATTTTAAATTAAAATTAGATGTGTTTTAAATATAAAATAATAAATGATGATACAATAAAATACTTACATGCTGTACAATTATTGGATTATTGTATAATTTTATACGTAAATTAGTTGAGATTTATAAGTGACACGTTAATAAATGACACAGTAGAATAACTTACAAAATGTAGCTATATGATTATTAAATAATTTTAAATTTAAATTAGTCGAGATTTATAAATCGCACATTAATACTGTAGATGTTACAGTAGAATAACTTACGTCCTGTATTATGTTGAATAATTTTAAACTTAAATTTAGTCGTATTTTATAAATTATACAGAATGATGAAATAAAAATCAAATAACTCACGCGCTATATAATCAATATTGAATAATTTTAAATTAAATTTAGTTGTGTTTTTAAATATAAAATATTTTTAAATTTAAATTAGTCGAGATTTATAAACCATACATTAATACTTAGATGTTACAGTGGAATAACTTACACTTTTTAACCGTATAGAAAACTTACGATTATACAATAATCGATGATACATAATTTTAAATTTCAATTAAGTTTTTATAAATAAATCATGCAACAGTAATAAATTAATTTTACCTTCTATATTTTTAATTGAAAATTTGTAACGTAAATTAGACAAATTTCATAAACAATAATTACGATAGAAATAACTTACCCTTCGTGGCTATAGCTATATAATTATTAATAATTTAAATTTAAATTAGTCGAGGCTTATAAATCACACATAAATTGAAATTACAGTAGAATAACTTACGCTCTTGGATATCTGTTACAGTAAAATTCTTATTGACTTTGCAATTTCGAATGATATTTAATTTTAAATTTCATTTTAGTTTTCATAAATAAATCATGCAACAGAAATAAATAACTTTACCTGCTATATTTTGTAAATTAGTCAAGTTTCATAAACAATAATACAATACTTAAATTAGTCGAGGTTTATGAATCACACATTGATAGATGTTAAAGTAGAATAACTTACACGCTGTATTATGTTGAATGACATTAAGATTAAATTTAGTCGAGTTTTATAAACTATACAGAATGATGCAATAAAAATCAAATATCTTACTCTCTAACTCTATATCATCATCAAATATCGAATAATTTTAAATTAAATTTAGTTGTGATATCAAATATAAAATAAATAAATGATGCAATGCAATAAAAATAAATAAATCACCCTCTATATCATCAAATTATTTTAACAATATCATTGAGTAATTGTAAATTATGTTTAGTCAAGATTTTAATTACACATCAATAAATGACATAGAATAAATAACATTTTAGTCGGGCGGGTTTTAAAATTATACGATATCGTTAAAACCTAGTAATATTAATTATTACAGGATATTACCTTCTGGACCTAGTAAATTGCAAATATTTTTAGAAAAATATAGTTCTTAGCCCAATAACAAATTTACACATGTAAATTATTTTCCTTACCTTTGGATGTAGAAGCTTCGGAAGTCTTGAATGTTTCTATTATTGTGAATTATTTTATTAGTGGCGCGCCTCGATCATATACATAATGTCGCGAGAATACCTTTTCCTATTACAAATATTATATTTAAATTTAATGGATTAAGTTGAGAGAAAGCAAAGTTGATAATGCTTTAATTACCATCCATGATTGTAAACTTGAAGGAAAAAATAAAAAGATTCCCTGAAAAAAAAAAAAAAAAAAAAAAAAAAAGAGGTTTTTAAATTAAATTATTTTCTTTATTTGGGTGATCTAATCAAGTTTTGTTTACTGTTGTTTATTTTGGTGATACATTCAGATTTCTTTATTTGGGTGATCCATTAATATTAAATTGATACCCTAAATTGGAATGTTCGTTATTACATACATTTATGTGTTCCTTTTTTTTTTTTTTAAAAAAAAAAAAAATAACCAATTCGAAGGCATTTAATAACATATCCTGATAAACAAAAGTGAATTCGTTCAATTTAACACCTTTAACGTTAATTTTTTGGACATTCAAGCTAGTGCTCCGTAAGGGTCTGGTCCGTTTATAATTACAAACCAAAATTCGACTCGACCCGATTATTGTTTAACCCAAAAGAAATTTGTTCTACATAACACATGTTGCTTTATAAAGAATGTAATTTTTCTTTTTTTTTTTTTTTTACCCGCAATAATCCACTCCACAATGCTTTTCTTATTCTAGAAAAAGTTGTACTATCACACATTATTTATTTGTTACAAAATAAAGTCGCGAAACGTAAATAAAAAAAAATTTAGCCCGTGTACTATTCATTGTTTATTTGTTACAAATAAAAAAAAATCTAGCCCGCCAATTTATATTCAGATCGCTGATCATTCGGGTCACCGGGTCAAGCAAAAACGTGACCCTCCCTGTTAATTAGGACTCGTGACTAATTAGTCGCAAATCGTACTGCGCATCAGATGACCTCACACACTGCGGCGAATATCGTGAAAATGTAATACATGTATCAGATAGTTTTCTGAAATGTCTTGAGACTAGACTTATAACTCTACAGTTTTAATAAGGTTTACTATTTACACTTTCAACCTTCTTCTTGTCTTCATCATAGTGAATCGTGATAATAAATTGGTTTGTTTATTAATCGTTATTTCTCTTAGGAAAGGCCTTTGAGATAATTGTAATATTAAGTTTATTAGTTTTGTTAGGTTTAACACCAGTTAAAACGATTAAATTAACATTTTAAAGATTTTTTTTAACGGTTTTTAACCGATTAAAGAATTTTTGGTAGGTTCCAAACTCTAATATGAAATAATCAAAAATTCGAGTTTACTCGTAAAAAAAAAAAAAATTCTGTGATTAAATCCAACCTGAAACATGACATTCACCTGACACAAATAGTGTCAACAATTACAAATATTTTATATATCAGGAAAAAAATTATTAATACTCAATAACGAAATAGGCGCCGTCGGTGAAGTTTCCTAATTATAAAAAAAAAATGAATTACCGATGGTAACATTAATTTAACATCAAAGATTAAATGTAAAAAATGAAAATGTATAAGCTGAAAAATGATAATAGACAAAATTCTAAATAATTATTATATAAAAAATTTTTATGTAATACGTACGTGTTTGTAAGTATACATAATTAAAGAATTATGCTGCATAAAGTAACACTTTTCTAATGAAAAAATTTTAAATGACAAATAAGAAAATTAGTTTCACTTTACAGAATGTCTGAAATACGTTTTGCAACTAATTTCGACGTTATCATGTTGCTCTTTTGAAAAACATTATACGAACAGGTAATAAAGGGTAATATAAGTCAAAATGGCATTCAGATAAAGAAAATAACATCCGTGCTTTTAAATAGGATTTTGATAGTTTAATAAATAATTTAAAAAAAAAATTCTGAGAATTTGGTATGTATAAACTAAAATTCAATTTGGATAAATATTTTATTTGATTAATAGAATATATAAAAAAATTAATTAAAAGAAATTTATATACAAGAAATAATATTAAATTAAAAAAAATAAATAAACGAATGAATAAATTTAATTTTTCTTTCATCAAATACGTTCTCCTTATCATATTCCTTCATCGATTATTATATGTTATATCTTTTTAGATATTCACTACTATGTATGTATCAAATAAAATTTTCCCTCTCAAGTAATAAATAATTCTTATCATCTTAATGCATGTATCTGAATCAGAGTTTCTAACTGGTTTATTTCAAATGTATCATTATCCAAAAGCGACATTAACGCTGAAAGGAAAAAAACTTAATATACGTATTATAGATCATGAATTGTGATTATATTTGAATTCGTATCATTATGACGGTTATCCGTTAATAAATCCTTGAATGAATTTGAACTCGCTTTATAATCAAATAAAGATACGATTGTTATTGAGAATTTGGAAAGCAAATACAAAAAAAAGTTATAATTCAAAATTGATATACCAATTTTGTATTTCTAATTGTTTTTGTTTTCGTCAGGAAAAGGGCGCAGTGAACCAGATTGACATCATTTGATTTTTTTTACATATTGACAGTATTTCTTCTTCAGCACTTTGTTGGTATTACGATGAAACGGTAGGTACAATTTCTGTGACGACCATGCTCACTGCTGTGATTTACGCAAAGAGCCTAAAATTAAAGTCATAAAATATAACGAGCAAGGAAATGAGGCAGATATCAAAAAAAAATTTCTTTCAAAGAAAGTTCAGGAATGATAACAACCTGTTTAGACAAATCGAATTGCATTATTCATGTAATGGAGTGGATTTTTAAAAATTGTTATAGGGATTTTCTAGTTACAGCATATTGGTTATTCGGTTATGATTTTGCTTATTCCTACATTGCAATCCATCGCTTTACTAAAAATTAATAATAACTTTAATGAATGAGGTGAACATAATATTAAAGAGCTTACTTTTTTTAAAGACATATTAATTTCATATTGCGTAAATTCATCAAAGGTCACTTGATCTCTCATTTTACCAAAAATTAATGTACGTATGGTTAAATTATTTTCGTATATATTTTTTGTATTAAAAAGGACGGAATCTAAATTTATTCCATAATTAGAGCCTTGGCGTTAAAAGAATAATTCAATCACTTTTTAAAAGATTCTTCCTTTCTAGATTTGACAAATTTCTAATATCTACACGATATGCATGATTGATAATATAAATATTACCGTCATCAAATTACCTCGAAATATACTAAAAAGGGTCAGGTTTGAGTTTGCGTAGAATTAGCCAAAAAAAATCGTATAAATCTTTCCTTTTATATAGACATTTTGATAATGCCGGTCAGGATTTTATTTCTTATTATAGCAACTTACTGACATTATCATAATTCCGGCCCTGAAATTTTAAGAATGGGATGGGATTTTTGAACAAAATGGTTTGGTTTGTCACTTAGGCAGTACAGATAATGAAAAAATTTTCTTCTTCTTGTAATTGTAATCTTCATTGTAAATATTTAAATTAAATAATATTTTATTTTTCGAAAATGGTTTAGTTCGTCATCACGGTAAGTGTAAGCTGACGAACGAATTTTTTTCTTTCTTATTTGGTAATTAGTACTAATTTTTTTATTTTATTTATTTATTTGATTGATTGTATTATTTTTTTTTCTTAGGCTGTTTTGGTTATATCAGACTGGATTTCCGAAGAATTTTTGATCAGTGGAGGATTAATTTATTTTTTTAGGCTAGATCTGCAACTAGGCTATGTAAACTTCCGAGTTTTAATTATCAAATTGTTATCAAATTCAAAAGAAAATTAGGAAAAATATAATTGTTCATTTAAAACCAAATGTCAAGTCGTCAACCAGACGTTTCTTGGTATGAAAATTGTTTGATAAGTTCGGTACGGTTTCCAAAAAGTTTCGTTACCGAAGCGTATGGCATATTCACGACGTACCGATGTATGAAGAAGTGCCAAAAAAAAAATACTTGAGACGAAACTCTCGAATAAGAGATTTCGTAATTAAGGTGGTTGTAGACTGTGTATTTGCAAGTAAGCATTTCATTTCAGAATTTTGAGGATCTCGATAGCGGTAGAAATTAAAAAATATAAACAGACTTGCATTGCAGACTTCTCTAAGGTGTGTAAGGATAAATAGAAGCTCTCGTTCACCTCGTATAAGACCAGAAAGCTTTGTAAGAAAAGTTAGCGAAATACGACATCATTATCGAAGGTATATAATTCATACTAGGAAAGTCATTACGAGGTACTGTACATTCCGAATTCGTATTCTTCGCAACTTATCTAGGGATTGGAATAAATTCAAAAAAGTAGAGTCGATTTTAGAAAAGATTAATCACGAATAATAGTTCTCAAGTTTCGATTTTCGGTTTCGTTTAATTATGGAGTGGCCATTTTTTTGAACGCGGAGAATAATTTTTTTTTTTTGGCAAATTAAATTTTATTTATGATCGTTCAAGAAAATAAATTTATATTTTTTTATTAGATGTCTGATTCTTCATGAAATTCATCCTTTATTCTATTTTTATTGCAATAAAAGACTTACATTAACATACTGTATTACTCATTAAATTACGAATTTAGGCTTTGCGGTCAGTCCTGGTAAGGCCGGTTTTAGATCGATCCTTGCGGACCTCGATCCATATTCTGAGGACCAGTCTTTTTGGACCAACCCTAAGTAGATGGACTGAAAATATTTTTTCTGATAATCTTCTTTTTTGATTATTTACTATTTATTTTTTTAAAAACTAAATTTCATTCTTTTTATACTTTTCGATTACTTCAATCTTATACGCATTGAACATAAAAGCATTTGCGAAAATTTGCAAATAAATTTGTATTTAAAAGATAATTTAAAAAATTTCTATAACGATCTTTATTTCGAATGAAAGAGCCTACACACATTAAAATGGCCTCTTCAAATAAGGAAATGAGCTTTATTATAAATATATTTGTATCAAATCAATCAAGGTTAATTATTCCTGTTCTTTAAAAATTTTTATATTTGTAAGCTGTTATGTAGTACAAATAAATCAATATGCGTACAAAGAAATTCATTATTGCCGGTCGGTTCGAGAAGTTTTCAATCTCTTAATCTCTTAATCTCTTAATCTCATTGAGAAATCATTTTCTGCTAAAAATTTTGCAAAAAAGTGACATCAATTATTAAAGTAAAATTTGAATGTGCAAAAAGAAAATTTTGGCGCCGTGCAGTAGAAAGGTAGGAAACTACCAAAAAAAAATTTTTTTACTTTATAAGTAAGCTAATTATTATCTATTTAGTAAAAATAAATTCAGATTTAACATTAAATCAAAAAAAAATTTTTTTTGTAGTTTTCTCCCTTTCTACTGCAAAGCTTCCATTTGTCCGACGAAAGTCTTTGAACGCCAAGTCGAATAACAAAACTAGGGCTTGAAAATATTATTATATGCCGTATCGGAAAAAAAATTTTTTTAAAGTTTCTATTTTTGGTGATAACACCGAAATTATACCATATCTGTTGAATTACCCGTGATAGACATTTTCTTTTTCCGAAAATTTCGAATTTTCAAATTTATTAAAGTCCGAAAATAGCTAGACTTTAGAAAATTAATACATATATAATTTCGTTACTTGCGTGAAAATTTTTTTTTTAAAAATTATTATAATTATAATAATAATGAAATAATGCCTCTTCCAACTCGTGAATTAGGCAAAACTGGAATTAAAATCCCAATAATTGGTTTAGGATGTATGGTTTGTAACTAAATTCATAATTTTAAATTTCAAAGAATTATCTTGTGGCTCATAATGGAATTTATTTTTTATTTTTAAATATATATATACAGGCACTTTATGGTCAATCTGACAACGAGAAAAATATCAATATATTGAACAAATCACTCGACTTAGGAAGTTGCATTTGGGATACTGCGGTAATGTATAATAATTTTTATTCGACAATTAATTTCAAATTGATTGAAAGAAAAAAAAAAAATAGAATAAAATAATAATTCCTCCAACCTTTAAAATGCGGCTTTTAGGATATATATGGAGAAAATGAGATCCTTTTGTCAAAAGTTCTTAAAGAACGTCGTAATGAAGTATTTCTTTGTTCAAAATTCGGAATCATTGGAACTCCAGATGGAGTAATTATAGGTATAAAAGGTGATCGAGAATATGTTCGTCAAGCTTGTGAAAAATCGTTGAAAAGGCTTGGGGTAAATTATATTGACCTCTATTATCTACATCGTGTGGATCCTAATACGTAAGCCTAATCAAAATCGTTCATTTTCAACGCAAGATAATGATGAAAGAATTAAAAAAAACTGTACAATTTTTTTTTTTTATAAAAAGTCCTATTGAGGAAACCATTACCGCTATGGCGGAACTTGTGAAAGAAGGCAAAGTGAAATATATTGGACTCTCGGAATGTTCTGTAACCATACTTCGACGCGCTCATAAAGTTCATCCAATAGCAGCTTTACAGGTAAAATTTTAGAACTGTTGAAATATTAAATATTATTTAAGTACTAAAAATCTCTTGTTATAAGATGGAATATAGTCCATGGACACGTGACATTGAAAAGAATGGAATCATGAAAGCATGTCGAGAATTGGGTATTACTATAGTGGCTCATAGCCCACTTGGTCATGGATTCTTGACCGGAAAGTTTAAATCAATCGATGATCTAGAAATAAATGATTTTAGAAGAACGAGCCCACGTTTCATGGGTGATAATTTTCAAAAAAATTTGGAAATTGTTAAAAAATTTCAGGAATTCGCTAGCAAGAAAGGCGTTACCACAAGTCAACTTTGTTTGGCTTGGATTTTGGCTCAAGTATTTATATACGTTTTATCAAATACTTTGAATCTTTATCCTAGCTGGTTTAAAATTAATTTTTCTTTTTTTTTTCTTTAGGGAGATAATATTGTTGTTATTCCTGGTACGAGGAAAATTAATTATTTAGAAGAAAATATTGGCGCTGCTAGTTTACGACTTTCTCCCGAGGAAATATCAGACATTAATCAAATAATTAATTCCGTTAAAATTTTTGGTAATAGAGTCAGTGAAGCCGCTGCTTCTGTAAGTATAGTTATAAAAAATTTTATTATTTTTTAATAACAATTATTTTTGACTTTCTTATTTTTTTTGTAGATCTTAAATATGGAAATCATTTAATTATATTTAATACTGTATTTCTTTGACTAAAATTTAAATAAAAAATTTTCCAACTTGTGAATAGCAAATCTTTTATATAAAATGAAAATAATAAATTGGGTTATGTTATTAACGTTACGTTTTAAACATTTCATAGATTAAATTTTAATGAGTTTGTGTGAAGTCAAGATGCTTTTAACGAAGTGCAACATCGACGATTGATAGAATTAGGATCAAGATCAAAACTTGTTTACGCTCAATTTTATTTGATGTGTTTAAGGAATGCTTCAACTTCTAATGCACTTAATTAATATTGTCATCACGTGGTCGAAGTAAACATATTTAAATTTCTTTTCGAAGAATAAACAATTTTTAGCACTTTTTATAGTATCAAAATCAAAATTCTCAAACTCCCAAGTTAAAGATAATCTTTCAAGAATTTTCATTCACGTATTGAACACTAGCAAAGGACAAGAATTTCATCTGTTCAGAAAATTACATCTTTTCTCCACGAGTAATCAAACAAAATTTATAGTATTTGCATTATGATTATGTTATTATGTGAATTTTATCAAGTTTGATGGGAGCGATCTATAGATATGTGTGTTAATTTTAAAGGAATGAACCCATGGGAGTTCATTATATTTATGAGTAACTTTAATATGTCGAAAACTATATTAAGTGACATTACGAAAAGAATTAAGGAATCAATTTTTGACGACGCATCGAAGTTTCATACCAATATCGTATTCGTTCCATTTCTGTCGGATTTGTTTTAAGAAAAACCTTCAAGAATTTTTTTTTTAGTTACTCAATTAATCTAAACCTTTTTCTTTAAAACAGCCATGCATTTTATCATTTCGTATGAAAGATCGTCAAGCTGTAATAGACCAAAGCATTATGCAACAATTACTATAATAAGTTAAGCTTATCTTATTTAAGTAAATGCCAATCAATTAATTAAACCTGCGCAATTACGAATAATTACAAAAAAATTTTGAATAATGAAATAAGAATAAAATCGGAAATTAAACGAATTACAAATTCGAAATCTAAAAAGTTAAAACGGCGAAAAGGAAAATATCGCGAAGGGATTAAAGAAGGATTTAAAGACTATGTATGCGAGATAAATCAAGGGCGAGCGTGGAAAGTTAATAATTAGGACAGCTTAGCGCCTACCATGAAACATCAGTATTAATTAAAGATAATTAAGGTCATCTGAAAGTGCTATATTTTGACTATCACAGATTTTTTTAATAATTGTATTAATACTTAATTTTTCAAGTGCACATTTCTTTGAATTTCTATAAGGTTTCATGATTATTATTTAGTGGAAGTAAAGAGAAAAAGGACATTGTAATTAAATCATTTTTTATAAAACATTTAAACTTTTTTGTTGACCAAAACTCGGTTAATAATATTAAACTTCTGAGCTTTTCGTTAACTACCTGTTAATAATATAAATTTTTTATTTATCAATTACCAAATTTGGTTAATAATAAATTAATAAACACTTTGTTTTTTCTTTTGTACATGATTATTATTATTTAATTGTATATTTTAACTGTAAACTTTATATATATAGTTATTCCTAAAGTTAGTTAGCAATTTAATTAAATTCAATGGTAAATAAAGCAATCCAGAGAATTTTTAAAAAATAAATTTTGTTTTATTTTCTAATAGGCTTTGATTTAATTCTTTTCTTTCAATTTTTGATTAATTATTTATTAATCAAATAATAAAAAATTTTCTTTTATTTTTCATATATAAGTAATTTTTAAAATTTTTTTGCAACTGTTTCATTTCTATAACTATCATCAAAATTATATGATGATTATGTAATGAGTTTAAAATGTCTACAAAAAATAAAAAAAATGAAAATAAATGGTGAATATTTCTTTGCTTACTTATGTATTATTTAAATAACCTTAAAATCAATGTTAGACATAATCCTGAAAGACATTTTATTGAAAGGATGCTTACCTAAAATTTTCAGCCCATGTTATAATAATTCTGACGAAGATTTTATGAAAATATCTATTTAGAAAAATGGTTTTCAGAAAATCATATTACATCCTATTTAAATTATTAAAATTAAAGTATCAGAATAGAACTAGATAATGAAAAAATATAGCTAACTATGAATTATCAAATGAAAATTACATGATTTCAGATAAAAAAATCAACTAATAAAAGAAGTTAATAATGAAACATTAAATAATTATGAAACACTAAATAAAAAGTAAAACTATTTTTAAAATATTGGAATAACAAATTTTTGATAATATGAAAAAATTATTTAAAGATTAATTATTTAATGAGGAATCTTTTGAAAAATTATTTGATAATAATAATGAAGAATACTTTAATGAAAATAAAAATTTAACTTTAGTGAAAAGAAACAGATTTATAGTGATGATAATAATGATAGCAAAATATAAAGTAAAAATAAAATCGTTAATATAATCTTAAGCAGTAAATAAATGTCACATATTGATTGAGAATTCGCATCATATTTTAAAAAAATTACTAAAGTATTAATATTTTATTAGATTTAAAAATATAATATAAATAAGAATTAGTTTAATTATTATTTTATTATTTTAGGTTTTTATTATAATTAATAGTTACTTGGATTTATGATTAAATAGTATTATAATTAATCATCCAAAATTCAAAAATGAAGATGTTATAATAAGTATTCACCAATTTAAAAAGTTTTGATAAAGACTATTTCTACTCTTGATTAAATCATGTAAAGTTCATATTGCAAATAAAAATCTCATTAACTTTTTGAAAATTAAAGATATGTTTTATTTATCTATTATAGATTTGACTCTTTCTTAGTAATTATTCACTATTTAGCCAAATATATTTTAGTTTAAGTTAAATTATTAAACAAATTCTAGAATTCTGGTATAGAAATTTATAAAAGAAAACTTTGCAATTTAAATATATATTTATTCAAATTAATAAAAATATATTATAACTTGTTTAATTATAAGAACAATAGTGTAATTATGCAATGATACTAAAATAATAGTTATTTATTTATTTTATTATTAAAATATGGTAACAATTTATTTATTTGATTTTAGCAACATATAATTATAAAAATTTTGTCATTTATAAAAATTTATAGAAATGATATTAAGAATTAGTAGAATCTTAATTATAATAGAAATATATAATATTCAAAATAACAATTTAATGTATTTTAAATTTTAATGAATTGCTAAAAAAACTTATATAGTAATAATCTAATCATAGGGAAAGATCATATATGAATACATGATTGTTAAATCAAAAAATAGAAATTTAGTCATAACTATTAAGTTATCAAATATATTACAATTGTATACTTTATAATATAATATTATTAATGAACTTTTTTCTATTATTTCAAAAAATTCTTTATAAATATTAGAATAATTGAAAGTTGAGAAGTATCACGTTCTAATTATAATTTAAAGAGAGATCTAGAAATTATTTGAATATTCAAAAATATGATAAAAACTTCTGATTTAATATCCTATATAGATAGCTTTATAATGTCAGATTATTTAACTTTTGTTATAATATTTTTATTTAATTTCAATAGGTTTTTGAAGTTAAACATTTTAAACAATCTGAAATTAAAAAGTTATAAGTATAAAAAATTATAAAATTATGATTAAAATATTAAATAGAAATGGTAAAATTAACAGTGATACCATATGAAGTCAATCCTACTGTGCTACAAAGATTGACAAATGATCAACGTTATTAATATCATTAGCATTTTTAACTTAGTTAACATTTATATTTTATTTATTTTATTCTTATATTTTATTATTATTATTTATTATAT